CCCTCCCCCTCGCCCGCCCGCCGCCCGCCCCTCCCCGCCGGCAGGCTGGCGCGCACCGCAGCGCCGACCCACGGCCGCCTCGCCGCCCCGGCCCCACGCGCGCTCGGGCTCAGCCTGGCGCCGGCAGCCACACGCTCCGAGGGCGCACACACCCACAAGCACGTTATGCCCGGGAAACACCCTCGGGCGCGCGCGCTCGTACACGCACGCTCGCGTGCACACGCCAACGAGTGCAAGCGCACATGCAGACCGGAGTGTGGTGTAGGGGAGCGCCCCGGGCAATCAAATCCACTCCGGTAAGCCTCTACGGCGGGTGAAGACACGGCACAACGCGGTGTCCCCATTTCAGAGGCAGATAAAGTGAGTCTCCAGACCTTACCAAACTGCTCACGACTGCTCAGCTTGGCGGAGACTTGAACTCAGTCTCTCTGCTGCCTTCTCCACCACCTGGTGGTTTGCAAACATTCTGCAGCCACAGAGGAGGGCCTCCCACGCTTGGTAGGCCAGCTGCCAAATGTCAATCCCCATTCATAATGCCTTTTTGCTAAAATCTCTCCAAAACACTCAGCTTCAGAAATGTCTGTGAGAGAATTAGTGGGACAAGCTGCTATTCGAGGTGTGGGATCACAGCTTGTCTCCAGTGAGACATGAGAGGAGAAGGTAGGATCAAAACAAGAGCGCCCAGCCCGGGGCTGCAGAGGCCAGGCAGACAGTTCAGCACGGGGACCAGGTACCAGGACGGCTGCACCACCTAAAGGCAATGCACCCCAGGGCTTCTTGCTTATTTGTCTGCAGTCTCTAAATCCCTTCATATTTTCTTTCTTTCAAAATGCTGTGTTTAATAGTCTCTCGCTCTCTCTCTCTCTCTCTCTCTCACACACACACACACAGAAACAGAGAGAGTTGGACATGACAGCAACTGCCTGTAATTCTGTCACTTTGAAGGAAGAAGCAGACAGATTGAAAGTTTGAGATCAGCCAGGTTGACAGGTTGGTAATCTCTCAAAAAACCAAACCAACCAACCAAGCAACCAGACAGACAGACAAGACTGCAAACAAGTTACCCATCCTGATGGATGTGATGATAAAAGCTTAGCCCACTTTAGGAGGTAAAGGCAAGAGGATCCAAGTTCAGGGCTCCCCTCAGTTGGCTACACATAGATTTTGAGGCCGGCTCAAGCTACGTGAGAACCAGTCTCAATAGACAGACAGACAAAAGTTACCTAGTCCTGACCCAGACACCGAAGGGCTGGCATGGTATTTTGATCAGGGGAGGGGTGGGCAATGAGTTGCATTCAGAGAGAGAGGCATGAAAGACTCCTTTCTGGTGGCAGAACTGGCCCCACCAACTGATACAAGATCAAATCAGGCCTCCCACCGAGCTGTCCCAGTCAGCCGTCAATGGGTTTATCCTGAGTCCGCACGCACACACCGTGGAAGGCCGTGAAAGGCATGCCCTGGGTGTCCCTAAAGGAAGTCAGTCCTCAGTCTGGAGGGGCTGCTACAGGCATCACACTAGAATTCAGACTCTATGTTTTTTCATATGCTCAATAAAAGTTATCCCACTGGAGACATTTTCCTTAAATTTCCCTCTTAGAAAGCCTCCTTTCTTGCTAATCATGTTCACTTAAAGACTGCTAAGTGAGAAGGCAGAAATAAACAAATCCTGGTACATTAAAATTGCAATCCTCCATGACCAAGCAGGGTTAGTCCCGGGAATCACATTTTTACAGAGATATTGAAAAGGGAAGTTGGGGCTCTTGGTTACAATGGTGACTGAATTCATACCTCTAATTTTACTCACTTTAATAAGAAGGCTAATAATAAGAAGTCAATTGATAACTGCAAGGATGGAGAGAGCAGGGAAGAAGACAAAAGCAACAGGATTTCCGAGGCAAGATGGCAGGCAGTCACCCTGACCTCGCTGCCCAAGCTGTCTCCAACAGGCAGAAAGGAAGCTGAGAGTCGAGTTGCTTTACATCAGAAAGCTCAGAGATTGGCAAGCCAAATGCCTCTGGAACTGCAGGAGCCTAGGCTAAAGGAAAGAACAATTAGATCCCCAGGTCTCTTCCCTAACTCCAGACTACCAGGAAACGATTGTCATTTCGTGATGAGCAGGCCCTGTGGGATGTTTCCGCTGAGACGAGACACACTGGGCTAGCACAGCCTCAGCCACCTTCTGAACTGAGAACCACACTGAGCACAAAGGGCTCTGGTGCCCAGGTGCTATTGGATGCTGAATTCAGAGATCCTGCGCCTTGTCACACAGCCAGGTCCCTTTACTGTCAGGCTGGACACTGGACAACTCTTCTCTGGGGTATCCCAGTAGCCAGAGAAGAAAGACTCCATGAAACTGACGTAGGAATCCTCCCAAATCAGCCCAGCTGGGTCACCACACAGTACCAGACTTAACCTGGGCACATGAGGGTTTTCTTTCATTCTGTCTTTTAGTCTTGGCTGTTCTTGAACTCTCTCTCTCTCTCTCTCTCTCTCTCTCTCTCTCTCTGTAGACCAGGCTGGCCTTGAACACACAGAGATCTACCTGCCTCTAATTCCTGAGTCAAAGTTCAAGGCATGCACCACCACGCCAAGTTCTTGACCAGCACTTCTCTCTCTCTCTCTCTCTCTCTCTCTCTCTTTCTCTCACACACACCTTCCAACTTTAATTGTGGGCAAAGGACTCCTTCAGGGAAGCAGGTAGGCTATCTACAGATCTGACCTTTTCTTCAGATCCCCCAAATCTAACGCCCAGTCTCACCCCCAGCTCTGCAGCAGGTCGCCTGCCTTTACTTCCTCTCTGTCCCCATTCCCAGGGGACTAAGCAGATCCTGGTGTAACACTCTGCTTTCCCCCTTCCTGTGAAACCCCTCACCCACTCAGCCCACCCCCACTCCTAAGTGTCAGCTCTCAACACATAGAAACACATTTTACCCAGAGTCCCCAGAGGCCACACCTAGTAGAATCCTATCAGGTAGCACACAGCCAACATGCTCTAAGAACTAGAAGGGGAAACAGAAACTAGGGAACAAGAGAGCCATCTAACAAAGACAAGACCAGATATTAGCCCCTAGAACTGCAATCTTCCCCAAACAACACCTAGATGCCAATGTAAAAACACAGTCATAGCTACAGGACAACAACCCTACCGCAGCAGGCCCTAAGAACTGCAGCATAGCTGAAGCACCAGAAAAAGACCTTAAAATAGTCTCTGTGAATACGAGAAAGGTCCTTAAAGAGCAAATGAGTAAATCCCTTAAAGAAACCTAGGAAATACAAACAGTGAGCAGAAATGAGTGAAGACATCCCAAGACCTGAAAGAGAAAATAAAATCCATAAAGAAAACCCAACCTGAGAGAAATATGGGAAGGAGAAGTTTAGGAGCTCAAACAGAGGCAAGCACCACCAACAGAATACAATGGAGGGAAGAAAGACACTCAGGCATTGAAGACGTAATACAAAAAAAAAAAAAAAAAAAGAGTATCTTGGTAAAATAAAATGTTAGATCTGAAAAAGAATTTCTGACACAAAACATCAAGAAAATCTTGGACATTATGAAAAAACAAAGCCCAAGAATAATAGAAATAGAAGGGGAAGAATATCAGCTCAAAGGCCTAGAAAATACTTGTACCAAAATCATGGAAGAAAATTTTCTTAACATGAAGAAGGACAAGACTATAAAGGTACAAAAATCTCACAGAACACCAAATAGATTAGACCAGAACAGAAAGTCATCACCCCCAACCACACAATAATCAAAACACTAAACATACAGAACAACAACAAAAGAATAATAAAAGCTGCAGGAGGAAAAGGCAAAGTAACATATAAAGACAGACCTACCTATTAAAATACTGCATGACTTCTCAGTGAAGACTCTAAAAGCAAGAAGGGCCTGGACAGACATTCTACAGACTCTAAGAGACCACACATGCCAGGCCAGACCCAGCAAAAATTTCAGTCACAATAGATGGAGAAAATAAGGCATTCCATGATAAAACCATGTCAGTGATCGAGATCACAGACGACTCTAGCAGAGGGCAGAGTTCAGCTCTGAACATTCACGTGGGCTCAAAACCAGCTGTAACTCCAGTTTCAGAGGAGTACTTCCTTGGGTACTGCGGTTACAAGCACAAACCCACACTCAGACACACACACACACAATTATGAAATAAAAACATTTGGGTGTATAGTGCACACCTTTAATCCCAGCACTCAGGAGGCAGAGGCAGGAGGATCTCTGTGAGTTCAAGGTCAGCCTGGTCTACAGAGTGAATTCTAGGACAGCCAGGGCTACACAGAGAAACCCTGTCTCGAAAACAAAACAAACAAACAAACAAAAAACCCAAACAAAGAATTTGGAGAAAAATGTCATTCAACATAGACAAAATACATTCATGTTTAACAAGAAATACACATGTAAAAAGTATA